CCATCACAATTTTATTATAAATAAAAATGAATGACTCATAAGAAGAATTCTATTTACCTAAAAGTATTCTAGTTTTTAACTGAGAAGTTAGCCTCTCAAGGTACAATGTGGAATGCAAAGGGTTCTTTCCTTTACACTGAATTATCTTCTATTATGACATGTTTCTTTCCTCAATAGTAACATGGGGCTCCTGGGTGGCTTAGTCGGTTAAGCGTCCGACTTTCACTTAGGTCATGATCTCGCGGTTCGTGGGTTTGAGCCCCGTGTCGGGCTCTGTGCTGACTGCCAGCTCAGAGCCTGGAGCCTGTTTCAGAGTCTGTATCTCCCTCTCTCTCTGACCCTCCCCTGCTCACGCTGTCTCTCTCTCTCCTAGAAATAAATAAAAAATTAAAAAAATATATTTAAAAAAAATAAAATAGAGGTACTTAAAGGAAACGTGTGTTCACTCCAAGTAAAGTTTACAGATGTCAACAATGTAGATTATAATTTTTAAAATTTTGCTAATTAGTCTTCAACTGGGCCCAAGAAAGTACTAGCTGTTATTTGAAAGAGGAATTGCTTATAAAATGTATATTCTTGTGTATATGTATGTATACAGACTAAAGAAACTTTAATATTATTTTGGGTATTTATAAGTAGTCTCAGGTAAAAGATTAGCTTTTCTGAAAAGGCAGAATTTTAATAAGCTTTATTTTCTCTTACGCATGTCACTTACATATTAAGGGGCAATATAGTAAGACTGTATTTCATTTCTCTATCCCTAACCCCTCCAAACACAACTAAGGCTTACGATCCTGACTTTCTTTCAAGGGAAAAAATACTACATGGTATTCTTTTTCTTTTACATTTTAAAATGTAATTATCTATCAAATAAAATCTATGGCATCTGATTTATCTCTGAGTCTTCAGAATTCCTTTCCTCCCAAGGGAAAGAATGACCTTCCTTTGGGAGTTTCCTTCCCCCAAGGACAATGGGTGAAACATTTGAATGTGAGATTTAGGGGCATACCTCCAACACTGTTACAGTTTGTCATTGAGATATAGCAATTTGGCCTTCTTACAAAACACTAATTGCCATTTTGTCACCCTGCATATTTCTGTACTTTATTTAAGGTGAAGCTGAGAACATACTGGAAACAGAAAAGAGTAAGTTGCAACTGCCAAGAGGAATGATCACTTTTGAAAGCCTTGAAAAAGCCAGAAGGGAACAGAGTAAATTCTTCATAGACAAATGAAATAATGTTTACCCACCGAACCTCAAAACACTTCATCGTTGACTTGAATCATGGTTTTTACAATTTTTTTAGATGCTTGAGATTTTGATATAATGGATGTTATTTTAAAATGTTAAAATGCAAGATGGGTTTTGTTAAATGATTTTAAAAATAAAATTTATAACATCGACACAAACTCATGAAGGTACTCTAAATAGCTTTCTATTTCCTATATATGTGTGTATCACAAATATCTAAATGTATAATTAATAAATTATGTTGTTTTGAATTTCTGGAAGCAAATGTCCTTGCTGCTCTCATTTCTCTGCCACACACATGTTCCCTATCACATTTTTCTCCCACCGATAACTTCTTTTATTTGAATTTGTCAACTTTGTCCTGTTTCCACATGATAGAAAACAACTAATATTAATGACTAACATGAATATTGTACTTATTATGGCCACTTAATTTTTGCATATATTATTGTAATCATCCCAACAATCCCATGAGGCAGGCACCATTTTATGGATGTGGAAACTTAGGCACAGAGAGCTTGAATTACTTGCCTAGAGCATATATAGACAGAACTGGGACTTGAATGTAAATGGTTTCTCTCCAGTGAATATGCTCAAACAAGCAAAGACAGCTGTGAAACACAAAAAGGAAAAATATTCAAAAATGACTCAGGAAAGAGTTCCTAAAGAGGTGGCAATGAGGTGAGGCTGATTAGGATGCCTATCTTTTTACTTCCACTCACCAGGAAACCTATACTCATAAGATAACCCTATTTATCCCCATTCCTACAGTTGCTAACCCTACAAATAATAGTTTCAAAGATATTTCCTGATATATACTCTGTATCAAGCACTACTGTAGGAACTAGGGTTATATGAGTGAATGAGCAGACAAGGTTAGTACATCTCAGTTCTAAGGGGTAGAAGAACTGAAGAAAGGAACAAATAAACATGGGGATAAACAAGACCATTTCTGATGGCGATGAATGCTCCAGTAGAAATAAAACAGGATTATAAGAGAGTGATTGGGGTTGGGGGGGGAGAGACTATAGATCTGTGACAGTAAGGACTCTATTTGAGCTGATACTTGAGTGGTGAATTAGCCAGTCCTGTGAAGAGCAGCTTTGGGGACAGGGAATGGATCTCAACAAAGGAAAGAGCCAAAGGAAAGACTTTGAGACCTGGCGTGGCCAAAGAATAGAAAGGCCAAGCAGAATAGGAGGAGATGAAATCTGAAGGAGGAAAACAAGCCACTGTTGTATACGATAACCATTATACTCAAGCAGCTGACCACATATCAACATGGTTCTGATACAATCATAGTTGTAGAGAACCTTGGGTGAGATCTTGAAGGATGTACTGAAGTTCTCCATGAAGATAAGAAGGTGCGGAACAATGACATGCTGGGCAGAAGAAGAGGCTTGATTAAAGGCAAGACGGGATGTCACGTCCGGAGATTTACTACTGGTTGGATTTGCCCAGGCCAGGGGTCCTCCTGTGAGGGGCGTGTTCAGAAATGCACTTGGGAGACACAGATTATCTCCAGAATGGCTTTGGGTTTAAGGAACTTGCATCCTGAGACTAATGGGCACAAAACACTGCACTGGGTGTGACTGGAATTAGTCTACTATAGGGGGAAGATCCCAGAGCCCATGCAGTGAAGAACTGCAATAGTCCACCTGAGTACTGACTCGTCAGTTCAGTACTGACTGAACTAAGGCTGTGGCTTTGATACGTTCAGGACAGTGCCAGAAAAGAATAGCAAAAGTGGGAAACTAGTTGGAGTTTGTGGAGGGATAAAAAGGTTAACCCCTCTTCATTGAATCATTAGCATGGATTTTCTGGAGGACACAGGAAAGAAATGATTGAGAGGCACACTAGTGGTCTAAAGGATGCTTAACATCTAGCACTGGTTCACAGACCATGCCAGAATCTGGAATTGCATTTCTTTCCCCTTAAATTCAATCATGCCATCCAAACATTCCTGACACAGTCTAGCCAGGGCCTACTGAGAATGGGCTTGAGTGTCCTGCAAAGACTGACTGGCTAAAGACCTTACTTACACAAGATTTGTGTCGCTATGCAACATAGCAGGCTGGGGTCCCTCTGGACCACCAGGCCATTCATTTGTATTGGGTTCTCACCCTGACGTTAACTCTGAGTCCAATAATAATTGTTACTCAATAGAGGCTCTGCTAAACACACACACTCACATTTTTTTTTCTTTTTCTTTTAGCCATTTCTTTTTTTTTTTAATTTTTTTTTTAAATAGTTTATTGTCAAATTAGTTTCTACATAACACTCAGTGCTCATCCCCAAAGTGCCCTCCTCCATGCCCATCCCCCCCTCCCCCCCACATCCATCAGTCCTCAGTTTTTGTCAGCATTCAAGAGTCTCTCATGGTTTGCCTCTCTCCCTTTCCCCCACCATTTCCGCCCTTCTTCTCCCCCTTGTTCCTCCGTCAAGTTCCTCCTAATCCTCCTATACGTGCAAACATATGATATTTGTCCACACACACTCACATTTTTGTTTGTCCCTATTATGAGGCAAAAATGAAAGCAGAGCTATTAAGTAATGGCTTTGGAATTCAACTGTATTAAAATATATTCCAACTGTCTTTGGTATTACTGATTATCTAATGCTTTTCCCCTTATTTATTGTTAAATATAATAATTATATTATGAAATATAATTTATAATTGAAAGGACAAACATTTTTGCTTTGACACTCTTGAGCTGCTTTTTAGCCATTTATGTTAATACTTGCATTAATTACTATTGTTATTATTATTTTTAAATTCTGATTACCAGCCAGACATCTGACATTTTAAAAAAATTTTAATGTCTATTTTTGAGAGAGAGCATGAGCTAGGGAGGGGCAGAGAGAGAGGGAGACAAAGGATCCGAAGCAGGCTCTGTGTTGACAGAAGATAGCCTGATGCGGAGTTCAAACTCATAAATTGTGAGATCCTGACCTAAGCCAAAGTTGGATGCTCAACCAACTGAGCCACTCAGGCGACCCTAGACATTTCTAAATACTCAACATGATGTGATCATTGTTCAGCTGGCATATAATTACAGATCTTTGTGATATTACAAGAAGAATATCGAAATTATTATAAGAAAATATATTAGGACAAAAATAAGAAACTAAGGTCTGATTACAAGCAAAGATTTAGAGATTAAAATAATGGTAATCTCACCCAGTGCCTTTTCAGCGATCAGGATCAAAGTTGGGGGAAATCTCATGCCTACCCTGTGTAGGTGTTCATCTTCCCCCAAGATCTGCTGACTTCACCAAAGCAATGCAGAGACTCCCTCAGCTTCATGTGGAGGTTGAGTCATAGTGTGAAGGAAATAAATATGGGCCCAGAAATTTTCTACACCAAAATGACCTTTCTTGGAAATCACTTTATAAAAATAAAATAATATAATAGTAAAAACACAGTTTATAAGATGCAGTACTTAACCATTTTGAATGTTTTAAACTCATATTTAAGTGAGAGAACTGCGAACTAAAATTACAGGAGGCACTGAAATTATAAATAAATTAAGTTTATATGGTATTGCACCCAACTCAGTTTGTGTTTGGGGGTAAAACTGAACGGTCCTTTATGGTTCAGTAACTAACTGCACTTTGTAGAGATTATAGAAGTGCCCCAAATCTACTGAAAATAATTTTAGTGACAAATACTGAAATTATTTTCCGGATGTTAAAAAGAGAAGACCCTTGGAAATGGTCTAGTATAAGTCCCCATTTTTCCATTTTCTCAAGAAAATGGAGGCCTTTAGTGATTTACCTAAAATTCCACATCTGGTAATGATAGTTTGTACTAAAATGCTGGTGTTTTGAATTCCTGGCAGGATTCTGCCTATGAAAGGACAGTGACAATGAAAGTCAAAATCAAAAATATACTTCCAACTATCATAGATACTCAGCCCCAGAGCCTTAGAAGGGCAGAGGCTTAGGAGGGCATGGTTTACAAGAGCATGAGGAGGGATCGGACTCAAATTACAAAGAAGAATCCACAACCAATGTGATCTGAATGTGAGCAATCTGAAATTCATAATATATAGACTTTGACAATTTTAACATATGCATGTTCAAATGTTATATTCTAGAGACACTAGGCAGAACCTAGATACTGTTTCTGCTCTACTGTTCTGGGAAAGGAACAAACTCTTGCTGGGAAAATATTATTAAATAAAGCCCAAGCCAGCGACTGCACTATCTCTTGCCTTGGAGTGTGTCTGTTCTGCAAGAGGGTTGGAGATGCTCCTTAGGTTTGGCCTTGTGGATGCCTACAGGGGATTCCAGGAATATCCTGCATTCTACCAACTGTACAATTTGCACAAAGTAGACTCTAGTAGTCAGGGATGACAACTTAGCATCTCTGATGATGTTTTTCCTGGTAACTTTGGGTCACTCTTGGAATTTATAAAGACTGGAGCAGTGCTTGGCCTGCAGGTGCACCAGGAAGCCCAGACTGACTAGGGGTCAGGGAGAGGGAGTGAGAAAGGCCTAGAAAATAAGAGGGCCAAAGAAGAGTAGTCTTCACAAAGGGATAAAGCTGACTCAAATGCCCTTCATAGTAAACAGTCCAAAAATGGCTTCCAGGGGAGCCATTGGAAGTGGGAGCTGAGCCCCTCAGGAAACAAAGTCGCCTGTGCGATTGTCTTGCAGCCTAGTTTGTTCTGCTGTGCTAATTTGTTCCTCTGGCCACTCAGAAGACAGTAAGAAATGCGGCTGGGCAGGACAAATTCATCATGACTGCTGATAAACGTAACTGGAAACCCATATGCCACTGATAAAGACTCAAGAGTGCTGCTAAGTCTCAGGTTTAGATGACATTTCTGGTTCAAATTTCTCCATCCACAGGTGTTAAAGGGTTGAACGACGGATTGCTAACCTCAGTTTACTTATTTTTTTCTTGGAAGATTTCAATTGTGGCCAGCAGCATTCTGTGGATATTTTCTTCTCTGCCTGGACATGAGGGATAGGCAGACACTGACCCTGAGTTGGTTTTGGGATTTCATTTGGTGTTAAAATAACGGAGTTCAGGATGTGTCCACATGAAGTCATGTCCTAGGGGGAACCGGCAATCTGGGATTCTGATTTGGTGAAGGTTTCAAAAAACTGTAAGAAAACAGTTGTTGAATACATGTGAAAGTCAATGGATCATAGATACTAGTAGACATTGAAATGTGTTAAGGGAGGTATGTGAAAAGCCGTCAGAATGTCAGGATAATATGACT